GGTTCAGGAGAACCCAGCCAGCTTCAAGTTTCGTCTGCTGGGGGTTCGGGTGAACCCAGCCGGCTTCAAGTTTCGTCTGCTGGAGGGCCCGAGGTGCCCGTCCAGCCTCATGCCACGTCAGCTGGAGGGCCCAGGGAGCCCATCCAGCCTCATGCCTCGTCAGCTCGAGGGCCCGAGGAGCCCATCCAGCCTCATGCCTCGTCAGCTGGAGGGCCCGAGGAGCCCGTCCAGCCTCACGCCTCGTCAGCTGGGGGTTCAGGAGAACCGCACCAGCCTCATGCCACGTTTGCTGGAGGGCCCGAGGAGCCCTTCCGGCCTCATGCCACATCTGCTGGGAGGCCCGAGGAGCCCTTCCGGCCTCATGCCACGTCTGCTGGGGGGCCCGAGGAGCCTTTCCGGCCTCATGCCACGTCTGCTGGGGGGCCCGAGGAGCCTTTCCGGCCTCATGCCACGTCTGCTGGGGGGCCCGAGGAGCCCTTCCAGCCTCATGCCACGTCTGCTGGCGGGCCCGAGGAGCTCGTCCAGCCACCTTCTGCTTCTGCTACGCCTGTTCCAGCTTCAGCCTGTGCTTCTGCTTCGCCTGGTCCAGCTTCAGCCTGTGCTTCTGCTTCGCCTGGTCCAGCTTCAGCCTGTGCTTCGCCTGGTCCAGCTTCGGCCTGTGCTTCGCCTGGTCCAGCTTCGGCCTGTGCTTCGCCTGCTGCGGCTCCGGCCTGTGCTTCGTCTGCTGCGGCTCCGGCCTGTGCTTCGTCTGCTGCGGCTCCGGCCTGTGCGTCTTCAGCCTCGTCTGGTCCGGCCTGTGCTCTTCAGCCTCGTCTGGTCCGGCCTCCGTGTCTTCAGCCTCGTCTGGTCCGGCCTCCGTGTCTTCAGCCTCGTCTGGTCCGGCCTCATCAGTGTCGTCATCTTCGCCTGGTCCGGCTTCGTCAGAGTCGTCATCTTCGCCTGGTCCGGCTTCGTCAGAGTCGTCATCTTCGCCTGGTCCGGCTGCGGCCTCTGCTACGCCTGGTCCGGCTTCTGCTTTTGTTTCGCCTGGTCCGGTTTCGGCCTTGACTCCTGTTTCGCTGTCGTCAGTTCCGGCCTCGGCTTTTGTTCCTGCTTTGCCTCCGCCTGGGCCGGCTTCGGCTTTTGTTCCTGTTTCGCCTCCGCCTGGTCCGGCTTCGGCCTCTGTTTCTGTGTCGGCCTCGCCTGGTTCTGCGGTTGTGTTGCCGTCGCCCAAGCCTCGTTTTGTCCCTGGGGATCGCCGGCCGCTTTCCGGGCCGTCAGCTGGACATCATTGCCGTCGGGGTCGGCCCCCTGGACCTTTGACCTCCGACCTGCTGTGCTTTCGACCTCCGGGTCGGCCTCCTGAACTTTTGTCTTCTGACCTGCTGTGCTCTCGACCTCCGGGTCGGCCCCCTGAGCTCATGGGTTTTGGACTGCTGGACCGTTGGCCTCCTGGTCGGCCTCCTGAACTTTTGGATTTTCTTTGGTTTTGCTGTCGGCCTCCGGGGCGGCCTCCTGAACTTTTGGATTTTCTTTGGTTTCGCTGTCGACCTCCGGGGCGGCCACCTGAACCGCTTCGCCATGCGCTCCTGTTCTGCCGGGTTCGTGGTCGCCCTCCTGAAGATGGGTCTCGGATTTTTGTGCCCTTGTTGTTTTTGGCCTGTGTGCTTCTGGTGCTTTGTTTTTGGTTTTGTTTCCGGCCCTCCTTCCTGGTCCCCCTCCGCCCGCCCTGGGTGGGTTGTTGTGGTTTTTGCGTTTGTTTTCTGGTTGTTTTCGGGCGTCTGGAATCGCCCTTAAGGGGGGGGCTCTGTCACAGGCTGGGTCTCCGACCCAGCACTCTGAGTTTTCTTTGTATTTTTTGATATGTTATTAGTTTGTGTTATTTCCTATTTTGCCTTTAGTTTAGGCAGTTATTGGTTATTGTTCCTGGGTTTTCTATGTTTTGGGGTTTGGTATTTATTCATCACGTGTTGGGTCTGTTGAGTTGTGTTGTCATGTTTAGTTGTTAGTATTTCCTGTTTTATTTTGACAATGTCATGTGTTCTTTGTTCATTGTATTTAGCTTTCTCTCCTGGTCCTGTCATTAGGTTTATGTCTGTCAGCTGTTCCCCCATGTGTCCCCACTTCCCCTGATCACCTCATGTCTGTATTTAAGCCTTTTGTTTTCTTCATGCCATTGTCGGTTCGTCTGTTTATCTCACCAGGGTCACAGTTTTAGTCATGGTCTTAGCCTGTTTACCTCACCTCAGTCATAGTTCTAGTTTTCATCTGTTATGTATTATTAGTCTTAGTCATGGTCTTTGTTTATTATTTTTCCACCACAGTCATAGTTTAGGTTTTGGTCTCAGTACCATTTAGTATTTTGTTTCTTAGTGTTTTGCCTGTTTGTTTTTGGTCTCTTGGTTCATTTCCCTGCCGTCATCGCATTAAAGGTTCACCTTTCTGTTAATCATTACAATTCCTCGTCATCATCTGCTTTTGGGTCCTGTTTCCACACACATCGGCGCACCCCGCCGTGACAAGAGGAGCTTCTATCCCCAAGCCATCCGTGCCCTAAACACACACACCCGCCCTCTCACATCATCTATAATTGACTGAGACAGGACTCTTCCAGACACTAAACCAAGGCACAATGTACATTTCAATTCCTTTAATTTTAAATATGTTTATATTGTCTATCCTGTAAAATAGTCAGATATCTATTCATATTAATGTACAGAATTCACCTGCTTGCTGCTACTACTGCACATTCACCCAGTGTATATACTATATGTGCATACATATATATATATATATATATATATATATATATTATATATATATATAATGTTCTTCCTCTACCCCCCCCCCCCCCCCCCCAATTTTTGCACATGTCGAGGAGCGTGTCAGGCTACATTTCACTGTGTGTTATACTTGTATAACTATACATGTGACAAATAATAAAGAACCTTGAAGAACCTTGAACCTTGAACCTTGGAGGGTGTAACGGGGCTGTGTGATGCCATTATTTTCTCACCACTGTGCACTAACTCCACACTGTCACTAGAAGCAATGCCAGGCTGCAGCACATGAAAGATTAACTCATTCAAGAATGACATGCATTAACCTGCTTCAATGCATGTAAGATTGCGTTGCTTATTAATTCTCTCAGTACAGTTAGAGTACAGCTAGATTATCCAGCCCACATTAACCTCTGCACATACCTGATTAAATTGCTCAAATTATATCTTACTATTTTATCTCCAAATACAGTAATCTGACAAACCCCCTTTTCTTGTTTATTGGCTGTTTTCTTTGTTGGTGCAGCTGACCATTCGCTAATCCCTAGGTATCCCCAAGTATCTACAACTTACTAGAACCCTTTGTTTTTCTGACACAGTGAGAAAGTAACCTTTTTCTTACTCTCGCTCCCAACATTTGTACATTTTCAAAGGAGCCTTATTACTTTTGCTTCAAGATATGTGAGGGCTGCTATTGTTATTTCCTGTCACTGCGCTCCTTCTCGATATCAAACTGATTTGAACCTAAATGAAGGGAAGGGATCTGAGACAGAGATGAAAGAGGCAAAATAACATATTCGGGGAAAACAAGTGCAAAGCAAACCCGTCTATGACAGAGAAAAGTACAGTTTGTGACATCATGACAGGAAACGAAGGTCAGTTACACAAAAATAGCTGCTTGAAAAGTCCTTCAAAGAGCTGCTTTTTACTTTGACGCTGTAAGTACATTCATTCAGAGCCAGAACTTTTTCACTTTGACTTGAGTAAAGTTGAATCAGTACTTCAACTTTTTCTCTGTGTGAAGCATCTGTGTACATTTCCCACCTATGATTGTAGTTTTAATGATTTTTTTATTACTTCCAGAAGGGTTGTTTCAAACCAAGAACCTTTTTAAAGGGCTGTTGCAGTGATATCATCCTAAACCTTTAAACCATGTCTCATCTACCATCCAATAACAAAACTTGTGAATTTCTCATGAATACAGTAAGTTAAATCGAGCCATTTTCGTGAATGTTTTTAGTGAGTTTATTGTTACTGTAAACCTTTTTTTTTATTAAAGTTGAGATTCAGGCTAATTTTGTCTAACCATCTTTGTTGGTTATTTGTGCCTACGCAGTTTGGTCACTTACTAAAAGTCCTTGTAGGCAGAGGAATATTTGCCTGGTTGCCTGTGTGTATGTTTTTGTGACCCCCATGTTTTGACAAGCTCCCAAAATCCCTCAAGATGGCTCCTTCACCTCGAGGTTGAAGCCATGTGAAATTGCCAAACACTTCCCCCCGGGCGGTGTTAAAAGCCTTCAGTACAGTAGTCACTATTTCCTGTTCACTTCCCTTTGCCTTTCGGATTTTATGCCATGCTACTTTGCAAGCACCCTGTTAACAACGTAAGTGCAGTGTGTGTGGGGGGAAAAAAGAAGTAATCCATGATTCATGTGACATGCTCTATGCCCTTGACATGCATCAGGTTTCAGGGCTTGCTTAGAGCATCTTATCAGGGGGAGGCGAGCAGGGACCAGCCCCCAACGGCACGCTTTTCAGCACTTATCGCGGTGCTCACTCTGTGCCAAAAGCAAATCACACGGTGCTGGAGAGGCATCCTTCCAGACAGAAATCTGTATTCATTTAAAATAAAAAACGTGGATCAGTTGATTTGTTCTTTCAAACTTTAGCAAAGTCAGTTTTCTCATCTAGTCCAATGAGTGTGTGCAAAATAGGCCAGAGGCCATGCTTTCTCACTATATCAAACCTGTAGAGTATGACTGCACTGTATAAATTATCTTGGCCTACTCTGTCAGTACCAAAGTCATGCATCAGCTTGGTGTTTAAACCCCATGGTATAGCCTTCATCTTCTAACTCACTTTATGAGTTAGATCTTTGACAGTTTCTCTCCTGCTCATCCTTTTATTCACTTCTCCTTCCTTACTCACACCTTTTCTTCTGGCCTTCAAATCTGTTCTCCTCTACTCACTTTTTTTCTCTTATTTACCTTCTCTCCCCCGCTTGTCCTCTGTGATCTCCAGTCCAGCCCCATATCACCCAGCTGAAAAACGTGACAGCCGTAGAGGGCAGCGCTGCCATGATCTCCTGCGTGGCTGAGGGCGAGCCTCTGCCTGACATTTCCTGGAGAAGAGCCAGCGACGGTCAGACCTTCGTGGACGGAGACAAGGTAGAAGCTGCCAGAAAGCCCATCTGGCTGTGCGTGTGTGTTTGTGTTCATCATCGTACAGCATAGGCTGGAATTACGGCATGAGTGTCGTGCTCAAAGGATATGACTTAGGCAGGAAGGATTTATGGGAAATTTACTGGGGTTGCATACCAAATGCATTTACAGCCATATGCCAAAACATTAAAACACCTGCCTAATACTGTGCAAGTCCCCTTAGTGCTGCTTAACAGGCTCATGTGACGTCTGGGTGTGTCTGGCACCTCTTGCTTTTGTGGGTGTTTAGGTAAGGCCTATGTCAGGGGTGTCAAACATAAGGCCCAGGGCCCAGAATAAGGCCGGCAAAGACTCCGATCTGGCCGACTGGAAGGCTTTGGAAAATGTGAAGAAGTGCACAGATTTTAAACTCCTAACTGTATTTTCATAAGTTTTACAGCTTTGCCTATTGATACAGACACTGCCATTCATACCACACGAAAGTAGTTCAGTAATAGATAAACCATTAAATGACAGAAATGTCTGGGCAGTTTTATCAGTTAAAGTGGATGAGTTTGACATCCCTGGCCTATGTGTTTCTGTAAAGGTGAATCCTGTGGAAAGTTCATCCGTGTGAGTCTTTTGTCTAGTTTACTGTGTTTGTTGTGTTGCTGGAATGAGGAGGGAAAAACACCCTTAGGTTTTCAGCTCAGGATCTACCTGGATAGTCTTCTGAGAGACCACAGTCATCGGGGAGTGTCACTGCTATTGTTACTTGTTCTGCTACAATTTTTAGGTGGGTGATATGTGTTAAGGCAATTTCCACAACTGATCTTATTCGATTCTTATGTCACATGCCTGAGTTTATTGTCACAACTGATCACTCTACATTACAGATGAGACACAGATTTGACAGTATTCATATGTATATGGATGGGAGCTACTTAAATTGTATTTTGATTATAATCACAGGTACAAAAACTGACTTAAAAGAATCCAATCATTAGAGAGTCAACCACAGATTGTGTGTCCTGGGCCAAATAAAACAGTGCACGTACTGGTAATGCACAGAGGGGTGAAGACGGAGGCGCTGCTGGTTTTATGGAAGCATCGCTTCATTCAATTTCATTATAGCTTTGTTTCGAAGAAGTCACATTTTGTCTCTCATTGTGGCGCGGCAGATGGCTCTACCAGTGAGCCTCGGGCACTGTTGCTATGGGAGAAAGTCAGTCAGTGGTGTGAATCAAAACACTGCAGTCACTGTGCAGCAAAACGCAGCACCACACTTCACTGAGTTCACCCACGACCGAAGAAGAAGATGAGGAGAAGAAACAAACGTGTCATTTGAATCCACAAATCTTTATTCGTGGCTGTGTGTTCTTGTGGTTTGAAATGCATCTTTGGCTATGAAATGACTACAATTTCTCTCTAGTGAGAGCCACGGATTTGCCAAATGTCAACTCTAAGGAGTTTCACTAATGAGTTTTGTTTTTTTTTTAATGAAGGAAAGGTGTCCTAAAATTCTCCGTCAAACCCCACGAGGTCATGGAGTCGCTTAACTGGAGCTACAGAGAAAATACCAGCTTTTGTTGTCATGGTGACCATTAAAATGTCACTTTATTTTTTATATATATGAACAAAAACCAAGTCTTGGTTCTTATTGCCGCGGACTACAAAAAAGCAACAGCAGACAGTAACGGCTAATTACTCGTATATGTTGCACCGTTAAAATTAAAGCATTCCCATCTGCCTTATATGAAATGTTGCAATTACAGCCATTCATTGGTGCCACTGCTGTACATTACAGAGTGATTGATCCGGATCTTTTCCTTTTGACAAGATTTTATTTTCACGCTCTGTGAAGCCTCAAAGAGAGCGACCCTCAAACAACAAATGCACATTCACCTTGTACTCACATTATTATCTCAAGGGAAATCAGTAAACACTTTTATTTTGGTTATTTTGGAAGCCAGGACCTTGAAGTTTTCAGGTCAAATCTTTTAGTTTGTACTTTCTTTCTGTCTTCAGTACCTCCCTCAGACTCGCTGACATTATATTCAATCCAGTTTAACCGAAGCGACACAAAGCTTCTATTTTTACTTGTTTCTCCCAGCATCCATTATTCACTTTCTCCATAATAACAGCCACACAAGTGACAAACTGAAAGAAGCCTTTTCTTGAAATAGTAATTATTCCTGAATGGCATGCCATCAATGTCAAAACCATACTCGCTTCCATGGCAAGGGGTAAGAAGCAGCTTAAAAAAGAGGAAGAAAAAAACCCCAAAAAAACAAAGATGGCAGCCGTTCCTTTTGCTGGGGAAAAAGGTCATCGCAGAGATAAATGAGTGTGTGCATTGGCTCGAATCGCTCGGGTTGATAAATCACAGCCGAAAATGAGAGTAAGTGCTTCTCTTCCCACAGCAAATGCAATTATGGAAATGCGCAGTGCAAACCAACACACCTAAACATACGCAAAGACAAACATGAGTCGTGCAGTGCGAGGCGTGATGGATGGCAGCAGTCATTTAGGTTTAAAGCAGGATGTTCCTCTCTCAATTTGCTCTCCAATCTGCATATCCAGCCGCCACACACGTGTCTCCCGTTTAGAGTTGTTAAGCTTCGGAAAGTCCTACATGTAATGTTACGTACTACATAGTGTTGCTTCCGTCCTTTTCATTCTTTGTCAGGCTAACACCCTGACCCAGGGTATGAGTGCATAATGGGATGCAGTTCCTGGAATTTAATTATGAATCGAGGCCGAGCATTCTGTGACACCTCGGGTATTGTTTTGCTTCTGATCAAAGTTACTGTCTGCTGTTGTAGTCATTCAGAATATCCAAGGCTAGAGAGCAAGTGTCATCAACTCCGTGCTTTTGTGTAGATGACTTCTGAAAAGATTGACATATTTGCTGTGATTCAACTGTTGATTTCACAGCTAAACCTTGAAATAAGAAGACTCCAACCAATTGTTTCCTGACTTCTCTGTGCCGAAAGACTACAGTGAAGCGGTCACACCATTGTGATTAATAACCTGGCAAGTAAACCCAGGTTTTTGAAATTTTAAAAAAGAAAGCAGACAGGTATAAAGCTGCAGTTCTCTCACAAGAAGTGCAAACCACATAATGAGGCACGTGTAACAAAGACTGAAAGTAACACAGTTGCTGAAGAAAAAGAAAAGCTGTCTAGTTTGACAGGCTTACCAAAGTAACTCACTACCCCCAATCATTGAGGGGGCAGTTAGTACACCACACTGCAATTAGAGCTGTATGTATTCCAAATCCATGTGTGTTAGCATGTAATAAATGCCACTTTGACCTCGCCTAGTGGTGTGGTGGTTAGCACCACTGCCCCAGAACAAGCCATTCCTGAGTTTGAATCCACCAGCTGGCCGGGGCCTTTCTGTGTGGGGCCCGTGTCTGAGTCCAAAGATATTCTAAATCGGGCGTAGGTTTGTGAATGCTTGTCTGTTTCTTTGTGTTAGCCCTGCAACAAATTGGTGACCTATCTAGGGTATCCACTGCTCTTACCCTGTGACACCTGGGAGTAGTTCCAGCCCTACTGTAACCCCAAATTGGATAAGTGGAAGAAAATGGATGGGTGGACTCTTTTTTGCTATCTTGCTCTTTTGCAAGAGAATGCATGGCACTCATACAGTAACAACTAGTTTTTCAAAAGTATTTTTACATGCAATTGTCATTTACAAAGTAAACATATTGCTTGTTTAAAAATTACTTGAAACTATTGACTGATAACATAAAGCCTTGAAGAAATTTTTTATGGAGGGCATAAAACAAGAGAGGGAAGTAGCAGTTTTTGTACCGTTGCATGCCTTTCCTGGAACCAGAAGAGTCACCTCTGGCTTGTCTTTAGAAAGAATGCAGGTTTAAAGCACTTCCTGAGCGACTTCACTCTTCAAACTATGCTCATTGTTTATATTCACTTCAGTTCAATGTTATTTTTAGTTCAATGTGATTGTCCCGACAGTAGTCATCTCTGGGCACATTTTATTAACTTTATGGATGTATACGACAGATATAGCCTTATTCTTTCAGCAATCTTTGAAGAAAATAAAAAAAGTATAAATGGCCTGTATTTATATAGCGCTTTACTAGTCCCTAAGGACCCCAAAGCGCTTTACATATCCAGTCATCCACCCATTCACACACACATTCACACACTGGTGACGGCAGCTACATTGTAGCCACAGCCACCCTGGGGCGCACTGACAGAGGCGAGGCTGCCGGACACTGGCGCCACCGGGCCCTCTGACCACCACCAGTAGGCAACAGGTGAAGTGTCTTGCCCAAGGACACAACGACCGAGACTGTCCAAGCCGGGGCTCGAACCGGCAACCTTCCGATTACAAGGCGAACTCCCAACTCTTGAGCCACGATCGCCCCGATAAAAGTATAGTTCTGCGCTAAAGTCTTGAACGACCGCCCATTTCATTATATTTTGCTTCGAAGGAGCCATACATTCTTGTTTTTTGGTGGGTTTTTTGAGTGTTTTTTCTTTCTTTCTTTTAGGGGGTCTTGAGCACTAGTTCTCTTAGGCTTTTCGATGGCCTTTCAAAGATTTAGACATTTGCTGCTTTTTCAGGCGTTTTTAGTCCACTTCTTATACCTGGAAAAAAACTTTTTGGGGTTAAGCCACTTAACACCGGCCTACGAATCATTCAAACACACACAGGCACTTAGCTCATGGATTGAACCAGTCTTATGCCTGCACATAATAGACAAGATAAAAAAAAATTTAATTGTATCTTCGTTATGGTCAGCCTGTCATACAATGGAAAATACTAAAAACTTGATTTCCAAAGAGCTACTAGCCAAAAACATAGCATGGTTTGCAGTGTGTCCTTAAAAAAAACAGATATATGGAAGAAAAACAAAGTCCCAGGCACAGTCATGGTTTAGGCCTCCGTTTCAGCCAGTGGTGTTGGAAATCTTGTCAAAATTGATGGAATTATAAGCTGAGAATCCACCATAATCCACCATACAATGCCATCTAGAAAGTGTCTGGAAA